AAAGAAGTCAAAAGATAATATGGAAATATGAAAGAAGGAATAGCATGTTTGTAATGATTTTTATATAGAAATAGTTTTAAAAAGTGGCATTTGAGAAATGACATATTTAAAAAGTTCTCAACAATTTATTGACAAATGTGAAGCTTTATTTGTATAGCCTTAGTTGACCGAAAGAAAATGTGTAGCCTTATTTGAGACAGTAGAGACAATAATCGTTTTATTCGGAGTCAAGCTAAACCTGTAGCCATAAATGAGTGGTACCTACATGTAGTATTTGGTATGATATACTTAGTTAGCAAACGATTTCAATCAAAAACACATAGATGTTGCTATGGATGAAGTAAATTTTAGTAATACAACTACATTGATATTCTTCTTGTTTTGGTGTACGAATAATCATGTCGACTTTACTTAAGATGACTTCAAAGCATTCATTACTCAATAACCGAGAAATCCATTAGATTATAGCAGTAGATAAATCGTACAAGTAAGAATTATGATTTTCTTAAGCAAGAAACAAATCCATCTGCGATCTGTTCTCTTGACCAATAACATCAAGAAAGACAGGATCAACGGTAACAAAGCTATCAACATGCACCTTAAAACTATGGTCCCACCACATAACCTTAGCCGCTCCATGAATGTCAAGCTTAGCCTGCAGTTTCATCTCCCTCTTCGCCACGTCAGCAAAGAACCTTCGCGCGTGTTGCGCAAGCTCCATCCCGTCGAGACGCGCCGGTAACCGGAGAAGCTGGCAAGATCTCGCCGGCTGCGAACCAGCCTTCACCTCCGCCGTGCCAAGGACCGTGCCGTCGTAGAGGATCGACATAGTGGTGGAGGAGTAATGGATGGGTGCGATGTTGGGATTGGTGACGTGTACGGTTAGCATTAACTCTGCGTCGAGGACAGGGAGGTTGAGTTTCAGTGAGGTCAGGTCTATGGAGATGAGGTGGAACGTTGGATCCTTTGGCTTTGCGCTTAGGATAGATGTTGCCGCTGCGGCTGATGCTGCTCCGATTAAGGCCGAGCTCCAGCTCCATTTCACCTTCTGGGCCATGGACCCCATTGGAAATTACACTCTATGCCCTTTGTATTTTCCGAAGAACTTCTTCAATTTCGATTTGCCGACCACCACCGATCCCAGATAGAGAAGACCTAAAGATTGAAACTTCAAAAGTCTGAAATGACCTTTGATTGTCTGCATGTAGTCGTAAACCCGGCAGGGGTGTTTCGGTCATCTTCGTAGCAAGTTGTGTTATATATTTTTAGAACATGGAGACTATTTCAATGAGTAGATTCTTTGACTGTTACGAGTTTTAAAACGTAGGTAAATATTTACAAGATGTAAGCTTTTTACGAGCATGGAAAATTTACTCTTGATCCAAATATTTATTGATTAAAGGCATTAGAATGAGATTAGGATCCCCCTATAACATTTCAATTTGGAAGGATCATTCAATTTTGGATACATATCCTAGAACATATTATTTACATCTAGAAACACTTTTTAACAAGATATATTTATGGAGGAAGACACATTTTTGCCATGATTAATATTCATTATATTTTTTAATTGATTGATGATGAATTTATATTAGAAGTTATGGTTGCGAAAGTATGCCTAGCTTGTTATAGTGTTCTTGTTCTAGGAAGAAATAAAATCAAGTTAATTGTCTCTAGAAGTTTGCTTCAATAATTCGAAATATGATTTCCTGAGAATCCTTGAAATTCCAACATCTCTTTTCTATTGTTTAAAACCGAATTTGAATTATTTGCTTTGCTCATTAGAACTCTAAAAATTTTATTTTGACTTAGCGTAATTTCTTATGCGTACTCTAAATCTA